CTCCAGCCGCTTGAAATGTGCTTTTAATCTCTTAGCTGCTTGAAATGTATATAATCCCAAATTAGAACCATAAAATTATTGCTTAATAATTCTCCGATTCCAATCACAGATTAAATCCATTAGTTAAGGAAGCTTAACAGTCTCATTCACATCTTGCTGACTGCTCGCCACACAGATAAAAAGTCGTCTTTTTCACAGTTCAGGTTTTAGTTTCTCCTTTATGCTTTTAGTTTCGTTTTAATGTGAAGTCATTTTTGTTTAAGGTAGTGGCTATGTGCCGCGGTTTACAGCAGCAACAGCGGCTGGTTACGGTTGGCGGATACCACCTGCTGGTGGCTACTACAGTAGTATGGAGCCGTATGGTCGAGTTCCATGCGATTTGAATAGTGGTAGCAGCAGAGCACCTACAGTGGTCTACGCTGGACCTCGGGTAAGGCCAATGACAAGGGTGATACGAGCGCAACCGGGCAATGTGCCACTGAGTGACTCCGACAATGATGAACCAAAGTGGGCGGTTGTTTAACAGCATTGTTTGGTCTTGGGAGCCTACAAAGCCACAGATTACATCTAAGGCTAAATACGGCCACGAGACCAGTAACAAATAATTACCGTGAGGGCAGGTTGCAATGAACTTTGAAGAGAGAATTCAAGAGGGCGTGAAGCGCTCAGATGAAAGTGGATAGCGTTGACAAAACTTACCGGCATGCAACCGATTAATTTAGCGGTCTTACTGGGTTGTATCTCTAGTGCAAAAGCACGTGGGGAGCATAGCTCAAGAGCTTTTGAAAGCAAAATAGAAATTTTACTGTTAGGAAAAAAAATCGTTTCGGTGGAAAACACGTGAAAGGCGATCAGAATATTGAGAACCAAAATCTTTTTCATTTGATTTCACTTATTACTGCTTGCTTTTTACCCACCTTCAAGGTTTATTTGCATAATGCCACCCGAAGTTTGAAGGGAGAACAAGAAATGTCATATTACAGTACCATTCAGGATACTGTGAAAAGCTCCATTTTCGTTCTCGCTCCATCAGCAACTCGTAACCCCTTTTTGGTTGCTGTGATCAGAGCTGTTGTACTAAGAGCCAACTTGCTGCTGATTCTAACGTTTGCTTTCTTTGCTCAACAGAAACATGCTAAACTGATCACATGTTTTTCGTCGCCTACGTTTTACCTCTAACGTGTGTCCAGTAAAACTTCCTATACTTCTCTAGGGTGGTGCGCTAGCCATTACATAGGAAAATTATTATTGACACAAGCAGAACTACGGAATCTGCATTCATTTCAGCCGAGAAATCTGTTTTCGTAGGCTAGGAAAATATCGAAAATACTAGCTTATATGGTAATTCGTAGTATCTGTCAGTTGTTGCTGTTATTGTTGTTTTTGTTTGTGCTCTGCATTCGAACACCGTTGTTTGTGTACATTCCGTGATTCAGTTGCTCAACATATTGTGCATCTGTATTGTGATATCATGTCGGCCCTCACCTAGCGGATGAAAATGATTTTAGGATGTGACGAAAAGTTGAAATATAAAACACTAAATAATTAGTGCAAGACGTAAAATCAGTCCATAAAAGAAGCAAAAAATAGTTTTGTACCGAATGAGAGCCACACTGAAAGTAGTAGGGAAATAGAGAGACAGCAAAGGACGGGAAAAAGAATGGAATGATAAACTTTATTGTCGACTGCCTCGTTCTAATTTTTACCAAAGAAAATTATCCCACATACCCGCCTACGTTGTTTTGTTCGGCACCACTAGCTGCTTAACTACTACGATTACTGCTACTACTTGTCATATGATAATGCACGATTTGGTGTCATCAGAACCGCGGTAATAATTAGAGGGTTGCAGGAGAGGGGCAGAAAGTCAGCGTTTATCTGTTTAACATCATTAGTGATTAATGTTCTAGTACTCCAGGTACCTCTCTGCCATTGGATCTCATGTATATGCAAATGACGCGACCCAGCGCTTGATTCGAATATTTTACTGAATGTTATGATTAAATTAATAAACTTATACGGGTCTGTGGTGACCATCCATCAAAGCAAGCAAGAATTCCAGGAGCATATGCGACTATGAACTGATAAACAAAAGGGAGAGAGAGAGGGCGGAGGGGGGAGGGGGGGACAAAAACCACGATGTCAAAACCAACCTAAAAATGCATGAATTTGACTTTTTTATTTGACTTTGCCCACTTGTTCCTAACTACACCAAGGTCACAGAAATTATCCATGGAGAGCCGACTGGAACACTAAAGCAATCAAAACTCGCGATAACCCGTCCTGGGCGTAATCGGGGCACCAACATTCACCAGTAAACGTACCAACAAGGAACAAATCTTGCCGACTGCCCCCCATAACAGTCCAGGAAAATCTTAAGACATCTGAAATGGACAGAAAATGTTGCAATTTCAAGAAACTTGTGGGACTACAAGACGTTTGGGAAACATGCAAAGTCCCTTAGCGACGGGTTTTTTTCCCCACAATTATCGCCAGACAGGGCAACAAAACTACTTGAAAATCGTGTTAGCGATTCCCTTGTGATGCCTTTCTATATAAATCAAGTAACTGCATTTTAAAATCGGCATCTGCTAAGATTTCCTAAAAAAAAATTCTACGTATGCCCCAAGGTCTGTTTCCATTGATAAGGACGGCAGAATGTTAGGGACTCAGCCTGCTTTTTGGCTT